ACCTGGTAGTATTTCCAAAATTCAATCACAAGTTCAACATTTCGCCCTCAGCGGGCTTCATCAGGGACATTCAAAATATAAAAGACAAGAATCTAGATCTACACTAGTTGTAAAAACCAAAGTGCGTTCATTCATGTCACAACGCTAAAAGGAGCAAGTTTGATACATTTAGGGCAGACATCATCATCATCATCATCATCATCATCATCATCATCATCATCATCATCATCATTTCTACACAGCAGGGAACATCGTCGCTGGTGTGGCTCTGTGGGAGGTGAAGGTCCACGACAAACTGTCGGCCGCGGAAGTGACGTCACACGGAGTGTCCTTGATCTTTGCCCTGTGCGGCGCGGCCGGTGTGTTGGTGGGCGGAGTCCTGCTGCTCGTGGGCAACAGAAAGAACTACATAGCACCCACGACCTTGGGGAACGACATAACACCACCCGTGACGTTGAACAACGACACAACAACACCCCTGTCCTTGAGGAACGACACAACGACACCCGTGACCTTGGAGAACGACACAACGACACCTGTGACCTTGGAGAAGGATACAACAACACCTGTGACCTTGAAAAACGACACAGCCCCAATGACCTTGGAAAATGACACAACGACGTCCGTGACTTTGAAGAACGACACATCACACGTGACATGGGAAGGTGTGCTTATGAAAGACGTTTCTCACAGGGTTATGTCCCCTCACAGCTCCTTAATGTTTTAAATAACAGTATACAGTCGAACCTGCCATGACAACCACCTGTAAACTACAGCCACCTGTACAAATGGCCAGCCCCCCCCCCCTCCCTTACACCCTCGCGTTAAAAAATTATATTATTCCACTTCGTAAAATTGTGAGGGAGCGGTGGCGGAGAGGTTCGTGCGCTTGTCTCCGAAGCGGAAAGTCCGGGTTCGAGCCTCAGTTTGGGCACGGATTTTTTTCGCCCCATCCTGCCCACCCAACCCAGCAGTAATAGGTACCTGACTTCGAGTTGAGAAAGTAATGGCGGCGTGGAAAGAAACTGGCCACCCTACCACAAGGTGCCGAAGGCCCTGGAAGTTGTCTCACAAACAAGGCAATCCCCCTTTGTCCGGATCGGATGTGGGAACAACTTTACTTTTAACTTTTAAAACGGTGACCTGTCCAACGCGGCCGCGGTCACCCTATATTATCTACCAAAACGATTTTTAAAAAAAACCTAAGAACGGTCAGACAAATGTCTCATTGCCTGACGCTTTGTCAAAAATAATGTATTATTTGTCTCCTGACGCTGTGGACGAGCCGTCATAATCCACTCACCCGTTGATTTTGTTAGTCCCTTCAGTGTCCGATCAGGTTGGGTAGGTCCCACCCACCATTGTTTACCCAAGTTGACCAATACTTACTTACTCTCTCCCTATACCGTCAGGTACATAATAAGGCGGAGAGCAGTCGACGCCACGCTTGTCTGTCCCGTGCCACTTTCTCCAATTACGGCACATCTAGGCCCTGGGTGATAGCCTCATCTCTTATTGTGCCTCTATAGCTTCCAGTTGGTTTTCCTCGCTTTCTCTTTCCAGTTGGTTTCTTATACCATGTCTGATAGCGTAAACTCGTCTTCGGCATTCTCAGAACATGTCCCAGATATCTCCATCTTCTCTTTTTGAAATTGTTGTGTTGATATCTTCAATTCCTGCTCTTTCCAACACTTCATTACTTGAAATAAATTAATTCCATGTTATGAGTAGAATTCTTCGTAGACATTTTGTTTGGATGCTTTTTAATTTTCGTTGAATTGTTTTGTTTGTTTTCCATATCTCTGAACCATACGTCAGTACAGCCAAAATATTTCTATTATATATTTTTTTAAATTTCGTTTTCAATGGAATGATCTTTCACTTCCATAATCTATTTTTTTAATTTCACAAAAGTGATCCAAGTTGGCCAGTGGGTAACAATAAATGTTCAACTACTGGAGAGGGAAGTGTGTGATCCGTTAAAACCTATAAGCCCCGCCCACAACTCGTACACAAATCGTAAGTGAGGTGACAGTTGGTCACTGTTTACCTAGCCTTCAACAATGGACGTGAACATGAACTTGTATCAGAAGCGTCGTTTGTTCTCAGAGTGGTGGTGACCCATTTGTTCGTTTTACCTTGTCTTCCTTGTCAGACATACTTCGTTTTGTTTTACCCTTGTACACTGTCTTCCTCAATTGGTCGCTTTTTGAGGACAAGAGGGCTAACCGAGCTTTCAGAGGTTTCCAGAAATCTAAACGACACAAGAACTGGGCATTGCCTTACCTATAGGAGTTTGGTTTCATTGATGTGTATATTTGTTTGGTTATAGAGAAAATAACTTCCCTTGTCTTTTAAAGAAACTGAACAAGGTGCAAAAACTTTAACTTCCATTTTCTCAAAACAGCATTTTTCGGGATAGCCCGCGTGTGCTTAAAAGCGACCAATTAATGCATTTTGTAGAATTTAACACAATGAAATAGACGATTGCAGTACTCGCAATACTTCGTCTCTCTGCGTAAACAGACACGTTTCACACTTTCAGATGTATCCAACTGTTGATGACGTCATCAGTGTAGAAATGTAATCCATGTCTGTGTCTGCAACGAACCCCTGTTGGGAACTCAGAAGGGAATGTTATTTAGGCCATTCCCAACGGAAGGATTATCAACATGCTCTTATGCACAGTAGAATTGTAAATGGGCTGATTTATCAATGTCATGCCCATACTGTACCGGAACAACTTAGGGGGAACTGCTGCTTTTTCTTTCCTCATCTTTACTATCGTCATTTTCCCTCTACGTCTTTTGCAAGTTTGTCACTCTCTTGTGACACGCTATTTCCGGGGTGCCTTGATAGTCGAAGCAGACTTTGTTCTGTTGAGGCTAGAGAGGTGAGCGGAGTAGGCCTGATTCCCTGTAAGGACTTCTCTGTTGACAGCCACCCCTTGGCGCTCATATCACCTTATTATGCAGTTGTGCGCACCGTAAAACCTCTACTAAAAGAAAAACAAACAAACAAACAAACAAAAGAACCAACTGCTTCTTCTGTCCTATCAAACATCTATCGTCCTATTTCCCCTCCTTCTTTTTATGTTTGTAACTCTCTTGTAACACCTCTAATCTTCAGGCGCTAATATGACCTTATGCAGTCGCGAGCGCCTTAAAAGCTCTACTTAAAAAAAAAAAAAAAAAAAAAAAACAAGCATTGTGTGTCTTTGGTGGAGATGTATTTCCTCATGACAATAAAATTATAAAAAAACCCATTCTGTCTTTAGTGGAATATCCCGCTCCCCACGCACCCCCCTCCCCCTCTACTCATTCACCCAACCTGCCAGTCCCTCCCAACCCATGTCTGGTCAAACTTAATTAATTAATTTTTCAAAATTATTATTTTTTTGGTAAGTGTTTTACGGCCCTCGCAACTGCATAAGGTCATACGAGCGCGCGGGACTCATTAAACATATTCAGAGGGTAGGAAATTTTGATTTTTGCCCAGATGGTGGCCGAAGCATACTCTTATCGATTTTAGACCACTAAGGGATCTTTAACATGTGCAACTTGCACACGAGGCCTCCGAGAATTTTCGCCCTTGTTCGAGAAGGCTATGTGTAGATCTTTCCTACCAGAATATCAGGGGTGTGGCAGAAAGACAGCAATAAGGAGCCAAGGAGTAGCAGTAGAAAGGCTGCAGACAGAGTCAGGAGCCCAGAGGAGGGGGCAAAGGAGGTGGGAGGGTGGGGGCAGAAAGTGTAGACAAAAGCAGACAACAGAACATTGTTAGAGAGCAGGGATGGAGTTGAAATGAGATAATTTAAGAGAAGAAAATTTTTCGGTCGTACCCGGATTCGAACCCGGGACCTTTGAATGAGAGGCGAACACCTTAACGAGAGCCCCCTTTAGTTTCACAGTCAGAAAGATGCTTTCATTCAGTGACTCTCCTAAAATCGATAAGAGCAGGCTTTGGCCATCACCCGGACAAAATTTAAAAAAAATTAATTCCTATAACACGGATTAGTGCTTAATGTGTCTCGTGCGTTCATCTGACCTTATTAATAATTGAATAATATCCTGTAAAATCAGGCACTCGTCAAAATAACGAAACTGGAGATATAGGCATTTTTCTTCCAGTTTGGTATTTTATAATCGTTTTTGTTTGTTTGTTGTTTTTGATTCCAGCCCTTTTATGTTTATATAAAAACACATTTCCGAGGGAATTTTACTGAAATACGTAGATTAAATGGAAACATTATGCCATTTTTCAGTTTTCAAGGACTCTTTCGCTTTTGGAGTTACCAAGCTGTGGCTGCCATTTTCTCGCAAATTTTACCATTGAAATAAAGCGACCCCACCTCCTTCAATCGCAAATATCCTGTCTTCTATTCAAGATAGATAGGTATATTTTTCATTGAAAGAAAAGCAAATAAATAAGCTTTCAGATAATACCAATAACTCTACATGCCCAAAAATAGACGAGCGCCTGATTCCACCACGTCGTGAAACTTCAGTCGTGTTAGGCTCAATCCGGGCTGAGAAGGATGCAATGTCTAGATATAACAATTGAGATACTCGATAACAATTCTTCCCTCTCGGGAATCGAACTCAGGTCTGCTGCGTGCCACATCGAAAGGCTTAACTGCTACAACACAGGCGCCAGTATTGTCATCTCGTTACTGGATAAAAAAAAGCAATGCAACCCCCCCCCTCCCCCAACCGAAAAATAGCAAAACAATCCCCAAACAAAACAAACCTACCAAAAATCAAACTAAAGTAAACAAAAATACCCCCCCCCCTAAGAAAAACAAAGAAAGGAAAGAAAGATACAAAGACTAAAAAAATAAAGAAACAAACAAAAAACTCAACAAAATGAAACAAAATAAAATGTGAGCAAAATTTTAAAAAATATATATATAAAATAAAAAATAAAAATAAAATCTTTACAAACAAAATAACAAAACAACGGGAAACAGTACACCAGCAAAGCTCCACAAATCTTTATAATATGTATTTTTAAAATTTTATTATTATTTTAAAAATTTTCAATAGACGACCTTTCCATTTCTTCCTGTCAACATGCTGCACTACACAACCTACACGGACATATGTATCACTATAGCATCAAGATCTTTATCACCACACGTCTTCTTGTTTCCAAAACGAAGCTTTTTAAACACTGTGTACAATAATTGGTTGCTTTTAAGGTCGAGCTGGCTAACCCAGATTTCAGGGGTTTCCAAGAATCTTGACCAACACCAAAAGTGGGCATTGCTCTACCTATAGGAGAAGTTTGGTTTCATTGGTGTGTGTATTTGTTTGGTTATAAAGAAAACCCTAGATTGTCTTAAAAAGAAACTGAACCAGTGTCCAAAAAACTTTACCTTCGATTTTCTAATAACAGCATTTTTCGGGATAGTCCCCTTGTGCTCAAAAAGCGACAAATTCTCTCAACAGTTATAGATTCTAGATGATGAAAGTAACATTTCTATAATATTGTTATACTTAGACTAAAACAACTCAGTTCTCCCTGCCCAAAGTTCTAGTTGGTTAAGTGTGGGTTGTGATAAGCCAAAATTATGTGAGAAAACCCACCAGTGCATTGGGTTGGTTTTTACTTCGAACATGAAAATCCCAAGAGATTCCCTTACAAATAAGCAGAAAACATTCACACTGGAGAATCATAAATTATTTTTATTGTTCAGTGCTAGCAAGATTATCAGTGGAAGTACGGTACAACAGCAATTAATTGATTATCAATGTAAGTACATACGATGAAGCAGCGATCGATTATTATTGTAAGTACAAACGATGAAGCAGCGATCGATTATTATTCTAAGTACGGTACAACAACCATTGCTTATAGCTAGCTCTACGTACGGTACTGCAACAATCAGTTATTATAGTAAATACAATGTACTAGTAAACGATTACTAATCTTAGTACGGTAATCATAGATAGCTTGTTACTGTTTGTACGGTACTATAACAAAATGCTAATAGCTGTACGAACGATTCTATACCAAACGCTAATTGTTCTGTATGCACGGTACACTATAAACGTGCAGTATATCAGTGATCATTACTGAATGTACGGTCTTATAACAAACACTAAGTATTGCATGTACGGTAAAGGATCAAACGTTTATTACTGTGTGTACGGTACTATAATAACAAATTTAACGCTTAGTATTGCATGTACGGTACGGCATCAAACGTTTATTACTGTATGTACGGTACACATCAAACGTTTATGACTGTTGGTACGGTACATCATCAAACGTTTACTACTGTATGTACGGTACAGCATCAAACGTTTATTACTCAAACGTTTATGACTGTAGGTAGGGTATGACAGCGACCCGGTAGGTCCCCCCACACGTAGTTGAGTAGCCAGTGACGCCCATCAGGATATCCTCTCCGTTGCTGAAGGCTTTGCAGTAGACTGGGGCTCCGGCGTCACCCTGAGGCATAACAGAACAGATAGGTTAATATTATAAGTCTGTCTGTCTGTCTGTCTGTCTGTCTGTCTGTCAGTCAGTCTGTCTGTCTGTCTGTCTGTCTGTCTGTCTGTCTGTTTCACTCTATCACCCTGAGACATTACAGAAGAAATAGGTTCTTTTATTATACGTCTGTCTGTCTGTCTGTGTGTTTTCTCTCCATCTATCTCTGTCTGTCTGTGTGTCTGTCTGTCTGTGTGTCTGTCTGTGTGTCTGTCTGTGTGTCTGTCTGTCTCACTCTATCACCCTGGGACATTAGAGAAGGGATGGGTGATATTATTATGAGTCTATCTGTCTGTCTTTCTGTCTGTCTGTCTGTCTGTCTCACTCTCTCACCCTGGGACATTAGAGAAGGGATGGGTGATATTATTATGAGTCTGTCTGTCTGTCTTTCTGTCTGTCTGTCTGTCGGTCGGTCTGTCTGTCTCACTCTCTCACCCTGGGACATCAGAGAAGAGATGGGTTATCTATACATATTGTATTTGTGAAAGTTCGTCACTTTGGCTGCCTAAAACTTCGGAACCACTTAACTTTCGAATTTGAAAAAAATAACGGTGGGTCAGAATCATTTAAAGGGTGCACAGTTTTACCGAGGGGGTCTGAACTCACTGTAGTTTAATTTCCAGTTTTTCGTTAGTTTCGTTTAGATCTAAACTTGGGAAAGTCTGTCTTCTTAGAAGCGATTGAGAACAAGTGAGGCTCCCGTTCACAAGCTGTGCGCACTGTTTCCCCAATGATTTGATGATCGACCCATTGAATGTGAACCCAGCTAGTATTATTATAACTGTTGGAAATCCAAGGGATAACAGAGAATTATTAATATAGTCTGTCTATCTGTCTGTCTGTCTGTCTGTCTGTCTGTCTGTCTGTCTGTCTGTCTGTCTGTCTGTCTGTCCGTCTGTCTGTCTGTCTATCTGTCACCCTGGGACATTATAGAAGAGATAGGTTATAATATTATTATAACTGTTGGCAATCAAAGGGAAAAACGAGAATTATTAATGTCAGTCTGTCTGTATGGTTGTCTGTCTGTCTGTTTGTCTGTTTGTCTGTCTGTCTGTATCTCTCTCTCTCTCTCTCTCTCTCTCTCTCTCTCTCTCTCTC